GCAATCCACAGAGTCAGCGTCTTAACCACTTGAGCCACTGCATCCCTGAAATTGCCCTTCTCTAAAAGGCAAATCCCAGGATTCCACTGAATATGGCTCAGTTAGTCTCAAAGGTGCTGCAAGATCTCTCTACATGTCTTTTTGTAGTGTCAATTTTATATATGTTGAGGGATGTTTGCAAGTTTTATTCATATTGTAAAAAAAGCTTGACCAGGTGTGTGTTTAAAAAAAAACACATTACAAACACATAAGCATGAAAGGTTGGTTCTCTGCTCTGTATTCTTCCAACGCGAGCAGCTCTTTGGAAAACAAAGCTGCATCGCAGCCTCCATGCTCTCATGGTGACAACAAGCTGAGTGTCACCCACTTACTGTAAGTGATGCCCACTTCTAGGTTATTTTAACAAGAAGGATCTACAGCGAGCGGCTTACTCACTGCGATGCCATGAGAACATGAACAAGGGAAGAGAGATGTGCTGGCAAGAAAGTACTGGCGATGAGCAAAGCTTGGGTAATGTGTCTGCAGTTTTGATATTTTTAGAGTGAGCGAGTGCCACTTAAAAACCATGATACACTACTCTATTTTTGAAACCTTCCCCCCCACCTTCTTACAACAAATCCTGAAAATAACTGAACATTTAATATCCAGCCCTTGAGTGATTGTGCACATGGCATTCCTGAAAAGCTTTTTTTGAAGGCTTAACTATTGCTAGTTTAATAGAAAGAAACCTTCATCAATGGTATTTATTAATTTTTTTAACAAGTTACAGATCAAACATGGCAATGCGTGTGACTTCTGTACAGCCACCCCTCCGTATCCACAAATATTTTTTATCCATGGATTCAACCATCTACTGCTTGAAAAAAAAATATATTCTAAAAAGGAAACCTTGATTTTGCCATTTTAAATAAGGGACAATATTTTACTATGCCATTGTATTTAATGAGACTGGAGCACTTGCAGATTTTGTAATCCACAGGGTGGTCCTGCAACCAAAGCCCAGCAGATACCAAGTGCCCACTTTACTTCTTTTATAAAGTTCTGCAACCATGGGGCTAATCTACACAATTAAAATACTCCACATTACAGTCCAATAGAATATGATCCTGCCACACACAATGTGCAGGAGTTCGGGCTTTTTGTGCCCCCCTCCTCCAAAAATTCTTTAAACTTCACTGAAAAAGGCTTTGCAGTTTTTACCAGAGTATTGCTGAAATCTGCATTGTTGCATGTGTGAACGTCCATCTGGTTTGCACGTACTTGGATGGCTGTGCATTTTCCGCAGAGGGAGGATGAATAGATGAAAATGGATGTGAATTTGTACAGGGAGGTGAAGTCAATTATCCGTAGATGTGAACATGCAAAAATCTGCAGCAATTTAGATAATAATGTAATTGTAGACTAGCCCCTGATTTCCCCATAACATATACACCTGTTGTTCTTCTATGTACAGTGGACCCTTAGTATCCACCAAGTTTGGTTACAGGATCCCCCATGGATACCAAAATCTGTGGATGCTCAAGTCCTGTTAAATTGAATGTCATAGTAAAAAGATTTGTTGTTGTTTGCTTTAAGTCATTTCTGACTTATGGCAACCCTAAGGCAACCCTACCAAAGGGTTTTCTTTCCAAGATTTGTTCAGAGGAGATTTGCCATTGCCTTCCCCTGAGGCTGAGAGAGTGTGATTTGCCCAAGGTCACCCAGTGGGTTTTATGGCCAAGCTGGGAATTGAACCCTGGTCTCCAGGGTTGTTGTCCAACGGTCAAACCACTAGACCACACTGGCTCCTCTTATATAAAATGACAAGATGAAGGGTGGTTACTTCTTCTTCTTCTTCTTTGTAATTGATATATTTTTAGAAATATTTTCAAAATGTGGATAATTGAATCTATAGATAAAAAACTCTGTAGATATGGAGGGCTGACTGTACTGGTGGGAAGAATATTCAGAAATATTAAAAAAAAAAGTTGAAAAAGCAGAGAACAGCATTTTCTGTGCAAAATGCTGTTTCTTGCTCAGAAAATGCAACCAACAACAAACTAAATGTTGTTTTCCATGCAAAAAACAAAACAAAACAAAACAAAAGAAGCAGTAGCAAATTTTGTGCACAGTAAATGCCATACTGAGAATAGGCTTCAGAAATGGTGCAGCAAGAAGCAAATTGCAAAAATGACTTGTTGCCTCCTTTGAGAATCAAACTATCAAAGAATTGCATCCCTACTATGCTGCTGGTCTAGTGACATTCAAGAAGCAACACTAAAGAAAAAAAGAGGGTACATAATAAGAGAATGAAATTGGAGAGGGCATGGGATAGGAGGAGAGACAGATACAACTGAATTCATTTGAGGGGGGATATTACTGAAAGGAAATTATGCTGCAAGTTTGCTTGGAGGGAAGAAGCATTTATATAGTCCTAAGTCTCCAAGCAGAATATTTTTTTTCCTGCATTGACGATCACATTCCTTTGGGGATAATCTGATGGAAGCTACATACTGGTTGAACAATGACATATATAGGTCTGTCCCTGGCTTTCCACTCCACCAAAATGCATCTGAGAAAGCAGACTTAAGTCCCCGAAAGTTCATGCTACCAACTTCTTTCTTTCAGTCAGTTAGGGCCTTTGCAGACTGCCAGAAATAGTGCACATTAAATTGAGGCACTGCCTTGGCTCAGTGCTAGGGAATCATGGGAACTGTAATTTATTGTGGCACCAGAGCTCTCTGACAGAGAAAGCTCAATGTCCCAGAAAAAAATACAATTCCCATGACTCCCTAGCACTGAGCAAAGATTCATACTTTCTGAGAAAATACCTGGCAGGTTATATAAAGAACATGCTGCCAGTTCTCTCATATTCTGTTCAGGAGGTCAGTATGTTGTTAATCACTCTTAGACAGAATAAAATTTCAAGACTTAAGGCTGCTAACATAGCGATGCTGCTGCTCATCAGTTTTACTTGTCTGGCTTCTAATTTGCCTCACTAGGGATGTTTTGCCCATAGAGTACCTTTTGTTCAAGTGTGTCAAAGCATTTCAAGGTGGGATGGTGTACAAGCCAGAAGTGTAGACTCATACAACTACCTCTGGGAGAAGAGTAAGAGTTCCTACCATGCATCCTCATGAGATAGTTAAGAAGACACCAAGAAGTCCTAGCATCATATTGCAGCAATTCTTTACACACAGCAGAGACATCTACAGTCCTCCCATGAAACCTGGTGGATATCTAAACTCTGCACCATATGTCATCTAAGATTTGTGGATCAGGTTATTTTTTATCAGAAGTCAACAAGTTAAACTTCCTCAAACTTTCCTGTAAGCCTGGACATGTCATACATTATTGCTGTTGTTGTGTGCCTTCAAGTCATTTCCAACTCATGGTGACCCTAAGGCATCCCTATCATGGGGTTTTCTTGGCAAGATTTGTTCAGAGAAAGTTTGCCATTGCCTTCCCCTAAGGCTGAGAGCATGTGACCTGCCTAAGATCACCCATTGGGTTTCATGGCTGAGCTGGGAACTGAGCCCTGGTTTCCAGAGTCGAAGTCCAACGGTCATACTACTAAGCCACACTGGTTTATAGATACACACAGCACTGTGCAACTTGTAGAATTAATCATTGTCTATGCAAGCTAGACTTCCCCCTCAAGATCTAATGTTCTTCTTACCTCTGTCTCCCTCTGATCTGAAAGGCTACTTTCCTAGGGGTGTGCCAGAGTGGTGTTGTGATTCATGTGTTGGATTAGGACTGCCCAACCATGGAAACTAGGACTGTCATCCATGGAAACCTACTGAGTGCCCTTGGGCATGTCACTCTCTCTCATCCTCAGAGGAACACGCTGGCAAATGCTCTCAGTATAAATCTTGCCAAGAAAACCCTAAGATAGGCTTGCCATACATCAGAGTCAAAAGCACATAACAACAAGAAGCCCTCTTGATCTCAGCGGGACTTATTTCTGGGAAGACATATATAGAATTGTGCCATCAGGCATTTGCACTTAAGGCTGTTACTACAGTAGTGGGACTGTGCAGCCTCAATTTGCTACAAGCTACAGAAGGCCTTCCAGTTAATGCCTGGCTGCAGCTCAAGACAAAGGGGTTAACTTTCAGTGTTTCCCCTCTGTGCACGCACATTTAATGGCAGCGCTGTCACCTCTTGTTAATCTTGGGCTGCACTGACCCAATTCCCTCTTTCCCATAAAATACTTCACAGGCCACTACTTCTCAAATACAGTACATTCCATCTCGAGGCATTCTTGATTCTTTTTGTAAGTTCATCAGGAGCTGAATGATGCAGAAGTCTTTTTGCTCTGAAAGATGAGAAGCAGCCTGCAAAATCTGTTTGTGAAGGATAAGCCATGCACTCAAAGTTCAGAAATCCCAAGTGCTAAGAAAAACTTTCCAAGCTCATTATTTTATGCTGCAGGTAGGCACTTGGCAGAGCCAGCATGGTCTAGTGGTTGGGGTTTTGGAATAGGACTGTGGGAGACCAGAGTTCAAATCCCATTCAGCCATGGAAACCCACTGGTGACTTTGAGCACCTCAGACTTTCTAAGCCTCAGAGGAAGGCCATGGTAAAACTCCTCTGAAAATACTTTGCCAAGAAGATCCTAACACACATTGAGTAAAACACTTGCTGTAAGTCATGGTCAACTTGAAGGCACATAACAACAAAGGCACTTTCTGGTCAAGGGTTCTCCATCTGGAATGCAAGAACTTGCCAACTGCCCTATAGTATAACATCCAAACCTAATGACATTGGCCTCGTTGTTGCACCTCCAAGTAATTTTTGACTTATGATGACCCTAAGGCAACCCTATCATGGGGTTTTCTTGACAAGATTTGTTCAGAAGGGTTTGACATGGCCTTCCTCTGAGGCTGAGAAAGTGTGACTTGCCCAAGGTCACCCACTGGGTTTTCATGGCTGAGCTGGGATTGGAACCCTGCTCTCCAGAGTCATAGCCCCATGTTCAGACTACTACATCATGTTGGCTACTCAGCTGTCGCTTAATTCAAAATATGGCCTTGTAAAATTTTTCTATTAGCTGATCATGCTGCTTCTGTTTAGAAAACTGGGAAATTTTCAGCTATGATCCAGTGCATGCATCACTCCAGTGGAATATCTAAGTACTGTTTGTGAACTATAATGTTTTGGGATCAGGTTAACTGAAGGACCATTTGTTGTTGTTAACTGCCTTTGTGTTGATCTCAACCCATGGCGATCCTATAGATGAGACATCTCCAGGCCCCGCTGTCCTCTCCTGCTCTGCCCAGCTCCTGCAAACTCATATTCATGGTCTCTTTAATAAAGTCCATCCACCTAGCATGTGGCCTTCCTCTCTTTCTACTTCCTTCTATTGGGGATTTTGGAAGTTGTAGTCCAAAAAGTAACTGTTTTTAGCACTGTAACAAAATTGGTATAAATATGTAATGCAGATATGGGACCTAAAATACAGAGCTGGGATCAAGAGCAGATCTGCTCACTGGCATAGCTGTTGGGACTCCTGGATTGTTGGACAGCTCCATGAAGAGTCGAAGGGGTTCTGCGGTTTTTCTGAGGCTTGCACCTTTCTTTCAAGGAAGCTGGCTGCCTGCTTTTCTTAATTTTCAGCCTATTTATATCCTCTGTCTATTATGTATATTATAATGCTAATGAGATGTGTGTATCCCACTAGGGAGGTGCATCAAAGGCTGCAGCAGAAGTTGGTTATACAGTAATTTGCATTACATTAGCATATTTGAAAATTCCTCAGATTTCTGCCACCTTTTTGCAGCTTAGAATAACACTAGTTGGTTTGAGATTCACAACAACCATGCTGCTTCAACATTTGAAGTGATGGGCTAGGAAGCCTCTCTTGTCTTGTATCTCCATTCCTGAGAAAATTAAGCAAAACCCAAAAATGAATGAAGGTCTTACTATTATCTGTCTGATTTTATTTTGTTCAAAATGTCCTTATTTCAAGATATCTTGGCTGGTTAAAAAAGGAAAGCAGCACCAAGGCTGGAAATGTGTTAATTTTACAGATTTTAAGCATATTTGAGGACAAAATAGGGTGGAAAATGCATACAAAACAGAAAGACTGATTCCTTCCCTGCCCCTTTGAACTGCAATGTAATTTAAAAGAGAAAGATAACAAACCCTGAAATTGTAGTTTGATTTACAAATGCTTTACCAGTTTTAATTAGGGACATAAATTAGAGAAAAACTGGAACTTCATCAGAAAGAACAAGAGAGCATTATGTGCTATTGTGGTGCAATATTTCTCTGTGAAGGTATAGTGCTATATATACGCCTCTAAAAATGTATCTAGAATGCAGATAGTAGTACAACAAGGATTAATTGCAGAATTAAAGTGCAGATTGCTCTGATGATCCATAGTGGGATGATTTAAAAAAACAACAACAATAGTGGTGCAATACATATTAGGACACCTAAAAAGTTATAAAGTTGTGAGGAGTTTGAAAAACAGCAACCATATTCATAGAGACAATCTCATCAACACATAGTGAAGGCAAATACTTGGATTAGAGCTGACTTTTGGGTTCTGAGAGGCACCGGGTCAAAAATGAGTCAAGTGAGTCCCAAGGTTGGTCATTTTTGTTGTGTCATTTTTATTGCTGTTAGCTGCCTTCAAGTCAGCTCTGACTTATGGTGACCCTATGAATGAGAGACCTTCAAGTCACCATAAGCCTGAGTCGACTTGAAGGCAGCTAACAACAACAAATTTGCTTTCACTGTGTAAGCCTTTATCTTATCAATTCTCAGGTTTCCTCTACTCAAAACATAGCAGAAAA